AATAAGTTGATGTTATGATCCCTGTCAACGAAGTAGTCAGAGGGAGTGGCGGATTTTGATCCCTCAGCAAGATAAGTTCATGTTCTTATTATCATCAACATAAAAGTCAGAGGGGGTCCCAATTTTTGACCCCTTAGGAAGATAAGTTGATGTTATGATCCCTGTCAACGTATTAGTCAGAGGGGGTGGCAAATTTTCATCCCTGTATGAAGATCAGTTGAGGATATGGATTGGATCCTTTGGATCATTCCCCTATCAAGCACCAGAATGATGATGATGATGATGATGATGATGACGATGTTGATGCTGATGCTGATGCTAATGATGACGATGATGATATGATGATGATGATGATATGATGATGATGATGATGACGATGACGATGCTGATGCTGATAATGACGATGATGAAGATGATGATGACGATGATGATGATGATGATGATGCTCTTGAGGTGTGGAGCAACGTCCGGGTTGGAGGGAACATGTTTTAACGACATCCAATAAGATAGAAAATAACAAGGTATCCCACTAAAATAATAATTATACATGAATTTTCTATCTTTTTTGGGGGGTTACTACCTAGCTTTAGTGGTACAACTGGATAATTCATCCTGGTGGGAGAAAATGTCTCTTATCAAAGGGTTCCTTTAGGCCTTCAGACTTTTCCATGGCTAATCTTGGATAGCTCCGATTGAAAAAATGAGCAGGTGAGTCTATCATGTCTAATGTGGGCAACCCAATGCCATAAACCCACCATAGGGGGATGGTTTCCCACGAAAATGGTGACTTGGGGATGATTTATTGAGTTTATCACATTACCTCTATCCATGGAAAACACCGGGCCAACCTTGCTCGCCAGCAGGTCGCCATAGGTGTGGTGCACGGCAGGGGGGTTGTTTGAAGCTGTGACAAGGTGTTGTTGGGCTCGGTTAGCCATCAACGGGATGAAACTCGCTTGGGCAACATGAGATTGGAAGAACTGCAGTCAAAACGAACTTTCACCAAGGAATTTGGGGATTCTAGTGGTGCGTCTGGCGTTGTCCATTGTTTCACGTGTTGTTTCGGCGTCTAGATGGCAGCCATGCAAACGCAAGAGCGACATCGCGACAGCAAAATGACCAGTTTGTACTGGATGGGCTCATGGAATTTGAAAGTTCCTTGTGACAACCGTAACACGAATGCACATGGCAAACCAGCCATAAATCCACCATACCCATGGCCGCGGCCATTTTTTGCCGGCTATTGAGACGTGACCTTTGGCGTCCCCGGGGGAGGTGTATGCTCCAAGTCCATCTCAAAATCCACTCGCTGGTGCAAATGCTCCGCCACACTGTGAGTACTTAGCACCAATGAACCAAGCAGTGTTATGGCATGGTAGGCGTTTTCAACGCAGTACCAATAAGAATATGATGTGAGACACAAGGCCCAGAAGGCTTGAAAGCCACGCTGTTCCGCCATGATCTGCAACAAATCCTTCCGACAAAGGCCGTAGCGTTCGCTCTCCCGGATCGCCTCCGGAAGTTGCTGAAGTCTTCCCAGCAGGAATTGGAGAGACAGCGACCTAGCGATGCACCAAATTGGTACCAAAAGAACTGAGAGAAACCCCCATTTTTGATATTTTTGATAGGTAACTCTCCAATTTTTGATAGGTAAACATGACCACCTGTTTTTGATGGGCAGCTCGGTAACCCTCCAATTTCTGATTTGTGATGGGCCAGTGAACCTGGCAACGACCGCCATCAAGAGGAAAGCCAGGAGAAAGTAACCGGTCCAAAGCAAGACCAGCACCTTGGTTTGGGAAACTGTTGTGATGGACGGCATGGCGATATACATGATATCCCAAAAGCATATGATGCTGAGACGTGATGGGATGTAATGTACAGTAACTCCAGGTAGATCGTTTGTCGGGAAGATACCCTGCGCAGCCGTTCCCTGAAGACCTGGTGTTTCCCAGTGCTTCCCAGTGCTTCCCCTTGCGGTTCAGGAACGGTATTCACATGCAAAACTGCATCCACCACAAGAAACACCACCTGCACCGCTCAGCGATCAGGGATTCGCTCCAACATACGAAAACTTAAAACCACCTATGGCATCTAGAAAGTGCATGCTTATCATAGTTTGGTACCCCATATGGGGCTGGGGTTGCTCATGTTGGGTTCATCCGCAAAATCACGAAGAATGTCCTTAAGGGCAACTTTTTGATGGGTAAAATGATGATAAACCATTGGATTTAGGCGCATCCTAACATTTCAGACAAAACCATTTGAGAAAATGTTGGGATTTCAGCTGCTGTTGGTGTATGTCCAATTAAAAATGGCTAGCTAGTCCCATGTTTGCAGATTAAGCTGGTATATAACTGGGTTTTTGCCAATAAAAACGAAATTCCTATCCCATTGTTGGTTACATATTATCCCACTACATCAATATCAAATCGAATTCTATCCCCGTCGGTTTGTTTCATCCTTGTTTCTTAAGCCTAAATCACATTCAATCTCAAGAAACAATCCTGTTCATGTACAAATCAAATTTATGTTTTTTTTCTCGAGGTGCCCCGGCATTTCTTAGGTTTAGATCTTCGTTATTTCGTATAGCTGAGATTTATGAATGTTCATCTAAAAATGCGATCATCAGGTATTGATCCGTATTAATTACCTCAATATCAGGTCCCTGTTTTTCACGGATAACAAGTGTTAAATGTCAATTTCTCAGGGTATCCCCGCATTTCTTGTTGGTAAATCTCCACTATACCCCATGATAAACCATGTCACATCCCATGATGTATATCATACATATATATATATATATATATGTGGGTGTGTTTTTAATGTACACATCTAATTATGTGTACATATATGTATGGGCTTTCCTTTAAAACAAACCCTCTTCATATCCCATGAAATCCATGAAATCCATGAAATCCATGACACCCCACCTGGATTTTCAGCTTCTCTTGGAAATTGCTGCTGCCCACGTGCGGCGGCGGTGCAGTTTGGCGCAGGGCGGAAAGCATGCGCTCCACTTCGATGGGCCTGATGATTGACTGAGAAGTTGACTTGTTTCACCGTAATACAGATGTGTGCATGTGTGTGGGCAAAGATGTTTATTTGATGTGCTTTCCATGTGGTGCTATATGCTGATCATAAGTAGGCCAAGCTTTACAGCTACTGATACTGTGGATGGAAGAAATCCTGCACCAGATAACCCACGGACCCCCTCTACCAGTGCTCCTGTTGTATTTCAATTGTCCTTACCCATGCTGACACTTTGGTCTCTGTTTGGCGATGCTAAAACCGATGCTTCGCCCCTTACCATAAATGTTCACCTTTCATTGCAAACTGATCGCTCTCTATTTCGGGCGTTCATGTTCACATCTTCCGAACTCTTTGTGTTCTGGAACCCTTGCACTTGTCCTCGCGAGTGCTTGAAATCTGCCTCTGGTCTTTCCTCTTGTCATGATCTTAGGTGCCGACGCACGGAGGGGGTGATCTGGGCGTTCGTACTCCTGACACAGCCAGCCCATTGCCTTACATCCTGTCACTCGCCGACACCTGCCCTACTACTTCCCCTTGCCCTGCCTCTTTGGCGAGGAAGGTGGTCACGACGACTCCCGGCGCCCACTGGCCTCCACATCAAACTGAAACGTGTCTGACTCCAGCCAACCCCACTGTACGCATCTTGCCTGTGGGCGGTTCCGCCGACATCAGCCTGATTCAGCCTGTATTGGAGCTGAGTCGGAACGAACCGGTGCTGGCCCAGGCTGATGAACCAACACCTTGGTCACCCAGCTCAATGGTGGAATGATGCATGAGATTGCTTCTTCTACTGAACTGATGGGAACATCCCCAAGCATGGCTGCCTGGAGTATATATATACCCAAACACACAGTCTCTGGCTGCGCAAGCACCTCCATAGCACAACCTGTTTGTTGTCCTGCCTACCACCGTGTCAATGAACTCAAAAATCTCTTCCGAATCGTTCGTGGGTCCGACTTCCATGCTTGCTCTGTTGAACATGGTCTTGCATGGTTACATACACGCATTTGATGCCGGTATCAAAATGTTTTCCTCTCACCCTCTCTACACTAACATCTCAGGCAACATCTTTTGTGCTTGCTTCCCTCAAAAGCTCTCTCTGACTCTGGGCTTAGGCTGCCCGGCCCATCTTTCCAGAAGATGATCCCCGGCTCCGTTGGCACAGCCGCCTTGTACCTAACAACAGCCATTCACGCTCAATTCATCCCTTTTTCCACGTGACATGTCACCGCATGCGCCTGCACTGCCGCCAGTTTAAAACCCCATCCAACATTCACCTCTGAATCTGGCCCCAAGCTTTTACAACAACCATGTCCTTTGGCTTCCTCTTTCAATTGACCGCACACAGAGCCCAAAACTGATGCATCATCCATTGCAAATTGCCCTCATACACCTTGTGCGGGTGGGATTTTCGTCTCTAGACCTCATGAATCATGACCGTGTCCAGCTCCTGTCAACCATGACCAAGAGAACTACTGGCCCAGGACTGGCCTGTGACAATGGATGCCTCCTGCCTTCCACCATCATGTTCAAGCAAAGATTCCGCCCGAATTGACGTTGCACCAGCAAGTCGCTGGTATTAGCACACATACATAGAAGGAGCTCACATAGGCACTGCTCCGTCCCGTTGGTTACTGGTTGCAGTGCTCAATCATCCAGAACCGTGCTGAATTTAGAGGCTCTTCCCTACTAAGATTGTTAAAAATGGCATCCCTGATCAATAACGCGTCACGTCGACGCGTGCCATACCAACTGTGACCTACGCATGACCAACTCACCCGACTTCCGGATCCCTTTCCCCTACAGCGCCTCTGCCAGGAGCCGCTGGCACTCTTGCCTCACGGCTTCCTCCGCCTTCTGTTGCTTTGCAACCTCTTCTTGCTGCGCCTGACTTGTTTTTCACACATCCGTCACACTGTCTCTGCATCCCCCTTTGAATTCAGTGAGCATGCTGGTGTCAGCAACTTGCTAATGATCATTCTGGAGACGTTGACCCTCTTTCTCAAAATGCATCCAAAGACCCAGAGAGCCCAAGGTATTTTTAAGTTGACAATCTTTTTAAACTTGCTGTCACTGAGGTTGTTGATGCGCATCCTTTTCTATCGAATAGATACCGCCAAGTCACTCTCCTAGAGCCTTTTTTTCCCGAGAGCGTCTGAGCGCAGGGTTCTTCCAATAGTGGGGGTCTGTAAAACATCTTCTCATCTTCACATCTCATTTTCACATCCTCTCATCTTCACATCTCATCTTCACATCCTCTCATCTTCTCTCATCTTCACATCTCATCTTCACATCCTCTCATCTTCACATCTCATCTTTACATCCTCTCATCTTCACATCCTCTCATCTTCACATCTGCTCATCTTCACATCCTCTCATCTTGACATCCTCTCATCTTCACACCTTCCCATCTTCACATCTGCTCATCTTCACACCTTCCCATCTTCACATCTTCTCATCTTCACATCTGCTCATCTTCACATCTGCTCATCTTCACACCTTCCCATCTTCACATCTGCTCATCTTCACACCTTCCCATCTTCACACCTGCTCATCTTCACATCTGCTCATCTTCACATCTGCTCATCTTCACACCTTCCCATCTTCACATCTGCTCATCTTCAAACCTTCCGATCTTCACATCTTCTCATCTTCACATCTGCTCATCTTCACATCTGCTCATCTTCACATCTGCTCATCTTCACATCTGCTCATCTTCACACCTTCCCATCTTCACATCTTCTCATCTTCACATCTGCTCATCTTCCCATCTTCCCATCTTCACATCTGCTCATCTTCACATCTGCTCATCTTCACATCTGCTCATCTTCACATCTGCTCATCTTCACATCTGCTCATCTTCACATCTTCTTATCTTCACACCTGCTCACCTTCTCTCTCACGCCTTCTTTTTATCTTTCTCTCTTAAGGCCGAGGGTGGTGCCGGCGGCGAGTCACGAAACGTCAACCCTTTCGCACGAAATGAGGGTCGATCGGCAAAAACTGAGGTAAAATTGCGATTTGACTTGTGCTGGAGCAACCCTTTCGCACGAAATGAGGGTCGATCGGCAAAAACTGAGGTAAAATTGCGATTTGACTTGTGCTGGAGCAACCCTTTCGCACGAAATGAGGGTCGATCGGCAAAAACTGAGGTAAAATTGCGATTTGACTTGTCCTGGAAATGAGGGTCGATCGGCAAAAACTGAGGTAAAATTGCGATTTGACTTGCCCCGGAGCAACCCTTTCGCACGAAATGAGGGTCGATCGGCAAAAACTGAGGTAAAATTGCGATTTGACTTGCCCTGGAGCAACCCTTTCGCACGAAATGAGGGTCGATCGGCAAAAACTGAGGTAAAATTGCGATTTGACTTGCCCCGGAGCAACCCTTTCGCACGAAATGAGGGTCGATCGGCAAAAACTGAGGTAAAATTGCGATTTTACTTGCCCCGGAGCAACCCTTTCGCACGAAATGAAGGTCGATCGGCAAAAACTGAGGTAAAATTGCGATTTACTTGTCCCGGAGCAACCCTTTCGCACGAAATGAGGGTCGATCGGCAAAAACTGAGGTAAAATTGCGATTTTACTTGTGCCGGAGCAACCCTTTTCGCACGAAATGAGGGTCGATCGGTAGAAACTGAGGTAAAATTGCGATTTTTCCTGTGCCGGAGCAACCCTTTCGTCTGTGTGTAAAAGCGTCTGTGTGTAAAGCGTCTGTGTGTAAAAGCTTCTGTGTGTAAAAGCGTCTCTGTGTGTAAAAGTCTCTGTGTGTAAAAGCGTCTGTGTGTAAAAGCGTCTGTGTGTAAAAGTGTTTGTGTGTAAAAGTGTTTGTGTAAAAGCGTTTGTGTGTAAAAGCCTCTGTGTGTAAATGTGTTTGTGTGTCAAAGCGTCTGTGTGTAAAAAGCGTCTGTGTGTAAAAAGAGTCTGTGTGTAAAAGCGTCTGTGTGTAAATGTGTTTGTGTGTCAAAGCGTCTGTGTGTAAAAAGTGTCTGTGTGTAAAAAGCGTCTGTGTGTAAAAGTGTTTCTGCGTAAAAGTCTTTGTATGTAAAACCGTCTGTGTGTAAAAGTGTTTGTGTGTAGAAGCTTCTGTGTGTAAAAGCGTCTGCGTGTAAAAGCGTCTGTGTGTAAAAGTGTTTGTGTGTAACAGTGTTTCTGTGTAAAAGTGCCTGTGTGTAAAAGCGTCTATGTGTAAAAGCTTCTGTGTGTACAAGCGTTTGTGTGTAAAAGCAGCTCCTGTGTGTAAAAGGGTCTGTGTGTAAAAGTGTCTGTGTGTAAACGTGTCTGTGTGTAAAAGTGTCTGTGTAGAAGCGTCTGTGTGTAAAAGCTTCTGTATGTAAAAGCTTCTGTATGTAAAAGCTTCTGTCTGTAAAAGCTTCTGTGTGTAAAAGCTTCTGTGGGTAAAAGCTTTGTGTGTAAAAGCGTCTGTGTAAAAGCGTCTGTGTGTAAAAGTGTTTGCGATGCAAACTATTGTCTTGCACTTCTCACTATTTTGTCTTGATACTCCTCTTCTCGACTGCCTATAACACAGCTTTCATATACCGTTTCTAAAATTGCATCTCCATACTAACAAGAGAAGACCCTGCTCCTCTACGCTCTCGGGCCATCCGTCGTCTAGTTGGTTGGGGGGGTTAGTTGGCCTTCTATCAAATCAGCTTCCCCAAATCTCATTCACTGACAGCTCGCCCGCATACTCCAATTGCTCATGCCTAGCTTACCTCATGCATGCCCCAATTTATACAGCTCTCTTGCTCGCAGTTTTCACTGTCAATCTCTTCGAATTTATCCACTGGTGAAAAACGCTTACAAATCTTCAAAGTCACTCTGCTTCATTTGATTTCCATCTACATGAAATCTCTATAAAATCGGTGACCTCAAGGTCCTCCATGAAACGGCAAACGTTGACACTGGGTAGGTACCCCAAAAACAAGATGAAGCCCACGAACCCGAATGCTCACACGTATGTCAATGGTACAGATGTCAAAACACATGGTTATGCAGTGACACACAATACCTTTCTGCAATAGTTTATTTGGAGTAGAGTGTGGAGTGTGGAGTGTAAAGTGCAAAGTGTGGAGTGTAAAGTGTAGAGTGCGGAGTATGGAGTGTAAAGTGTAGAGTGTGGAGTGTAAAGTGTGGAGTGTGGAGTGTAGAGTGTAGAGTGTGGAGTGAGGAGTGAGGAGTGTAAAGTGCAAAGTGTGGAGTGTGGAGTGTCAAGTGAGGAGTGTAAAGTGTGGAGTGAGGAGTGTGGAATGTCAAGTGAGGAGTGTAAAGTGTGGAGTGAGGAGTGGAAAGTGTAGAGTGTGGTGTGTAGAGTGGGGTGTGGAGTGTAAAGTGTGGAGTGTAGAGTGTGGAGTGCGGAGTGTAAAGTGTGGAGTGTGGAGTGTAAAGTGTGGAGTGTGGAGTGTTGAGTGGAAAGTGTGGAGTGTAAAGTGTTGAGTGAGGAGTGTAAAGTGTGGAGTGTTGAGTGGAAAGTGTGGAGTGTTGAGTGGAAAGTGTGGAGTCTAAAGTGTGGAGTGTAAAGTGTTGAGTGAGGAGTGTAAAGTGTGGAGTGTGGAGTGAGGAGTGTAAAGTGTGGAGTGTGGAGTGTAAAGTGTGGAGTGTAAAGTGAGGAGTGTAAAGTGTGGAGTGTGGAGTGAGGAGTGTAAAGTGTGGAGTGTAAAGTGTGGAGTGGGGAGTGTAAAGTGTGGAGTGTGGAGTGTAAAGTGTGGAGTGTAAAGCGTGGAGTGTAAAGCGTGGAGTGTGGAGTGGAAAGTGTAGAGTGTGGTGTGTAGAGTGTGGAGTGTGGATGTAAAGTGTGGAGTGTAAAGTGTGGAGTGTAAAGTGTGGAGTGAGGAGTGTAAAGTGTGGAGTGAGGAGTGAGGAGTGTAAAGTGTGGAGTGTGGAGTGTAAAGTGTGGAGTGTTGAGTGGAAAGTGTGGAGTGTGAAGTGTGAAGTGTAAAGTGTGCAGTGAGGAGTGTAAAGTGCAAAGTGTGGAGCGAGGAGTGTAAAGTGTGGAGTGTGGAGTGTAAAGTTTGGAGTGTGGAGTGAGGAGTGTAAAGTGTGGAGTGTGGAGTGTGGAGCGTAAAGTGTAGAGTGTGGAGTCTGGAGTGGAAAGTGTAGAGTGTGTGTGTAGAGTGTGGAGTGTGGAGTGTAAAGTGAGGAGTGAGTGTGGAGTGTGTGAGGAAAGCGCCACGTGCCACGCAAAACGACATGACAACCTGCTTGAAACATTCGAAAAGGACATGTTTTCCAGCTTCCGCCATAGACACAGCGACGCCACAGGAAAACCAGAGACACACGTGAAACGAGTGTGCGAGACTTCCTCCAAGCTGCATATTTTCGGTTATCAAACAGGTTGGAATGTCACAAAGTGCCACGCCTGCCACGCAAAACGACATGACAACCTGCTTGGACACATTCGAATCGGAGAGGTTTTCCAGCTTCCCCCACAGACACGGCGACGCCACAGGAAAACCAGCGACTCGACACAAGGCGCGTGGATGCAGAAAAACCAGCATTTCGTGCGAGACTTCCTCCAATTTTCGCGGTTGGCAACATGACAAAAGGACAAGTTTTGCAGCTTCCCCCATAGACACGGCGAGGCCACAGGAAAACCAGAGACTCGAGACGAGACAGGTGGGAGCACCAAAACGACCATTTCGTGCGAGACTTCCTCCAATTTTCATACTTTGCAGCTCCAAAATCGACGTTTTCCTACGAGTTTTCCTTAGAACCTGAAAATTTGTAACATCAAAATCGATGTTTCGTGCGAGGCTTCCGTCAATTTTCAACACATGTGAGAAAATGCCACGCCTGCCACGGAATTTGCACCTTGTCACCACTTGACGCAGCCCTGCCAATGCGATTTACAAAAAACACGCAAAAGGACACGTCTAAAGTGCTGCGCCTGCCACGAAAAATGATGATGGACACGCCCAAAGTGCTGCGCCTGCCACGAAAACTGCAACACATCTTCTGAAAACGTCGCAAAAGTATTGCGCCTGCCACGCGAAACGACATTCGACACGTTGCAGAACACGTCTGAATGTCACGAAGTGCCACGCCTGCCACGCGAAACGAAGCAACCAGACGTCTGAAACCTCCAAAAAGGACCACCTCTGCAAAACTTCCCATAGGCACGGCCATACGGAGTTCGCGCGAACGGTTGCGGACGGTTGCGGACGGTTGCGGACGGTTGCGGACGGTTGCGGACGGTTGCGAACGGTTGCGACCACAAACGCAACGTCGAGCGAACACACCCTCAACCCCCAGACCCCCAGAGTGAAACGGGAACCCTTGCTACGCATTCGGGAAAAAGTAGGGGTTGAATAACACCATTCACCCCAGGTTGACTGTTGCGACTCTGTAGAGGAAATTTTGAGGCGGATGCCTCTGCCCACTTCCCCCTCGCCTGTTGCAGCAGGCCTGCAGCCCTTCTTACATCCGCCTCCAAGGTCCGCAGCACTTGCGAGGTCACTTCTGCCTTGCTTGCTACAACATCTCCGGCTTTTTACGCTTTCGAGGTGACCAGCAATTCCATGGGGGTCGATTCCATTCGCAACATGCTTGAAGTACATGACAGAGCAATACTTAGCAAACTTGAAGGCCTACACCCACAAGTTCCTCAGCTTTTTGACTTGCAAGTACGATGTTGATCTCCGAATCCCCAATGCTCGAACGTGCCTCCTGCAAAAGTGCTCGTTCTTTCTCCCCAGTGGAGATCCTGGAAAGAACTGCATTCCCTTTCCAGGATCCTGCGCCGCGGGCCCGTTGACACACACCACCCTCTGCTGCTGTCCCCCCTACAGTCACAAGATCCCATGCTGACTGCCTACCGCCAAACACTCGTAACCGAAGCCTCCGAGTTCACCTACCCTCTGGGTCTCTGCAAAACATCGTCCTGTTCTTTGGCCTTCGACTCCCGGACCCTCCAAACCAAATGACACTTGCCACCTACTCAGCCCGCACGCCTTCCGGTGGCCACGGCCCATCATCCTCCTCCGCCTCGGCCATTGCGGCTTCGTGCTTCGCTTTCCACTGCCTCAGGAGTCTGGACCCACTCTTGGCACTCTCACACGCCGTTCGCACCAAATATGCTTGTGACTATGTGGCCACATGCCATATGCTTGGTTGATGAGACTCCTGGTGGTTGGCTCATGCGTTTTTAGTCGATACAACAGTCCATTATCACTAATAATCTGATTGATGCTTCTTGCAGCTTCTGCTTAGTCATACCCGAAATTTGGATTGGCAACGTCCTGACTTAATGCACTGCATTAATCCAGGTCTCTGGAAGCCCACAGTCTCTTCTCTGGATTGTCCCAAAGCATTGGCCGATGATCTAGATGGGCACTCTTCCACATTCATCATCTTCATTCAGCAAAAATGGCTATGGATATCGGCCATAGCCAAGCCAACTCAGAACATCGGTCACAATCTGGTCAAGGCTGTTCACCCCCCAAGAATGTGGTATGAATCATACACTGCATACTTAGGTGCGCACTTAAGGGTACAAACATGGTCCTTATTTCACCTCTAATCATATGGTATACCATGGTTGTACATTGATTCGGGTTTCCTGAGTCATAGCGGATCCCAGATGCTCAAACCATGGTTGTTCCAATACTAAGTTAGGGGGATAGCCCCGAATCATTCCATTTTAACCATGCTTGTCTCAATTCAATCCTATTCACTAAATCCCAAAATTTCACCGAACCCTGGTTGTTGCACCGAATATGCATCAATAGACATCAATAAACTCTAATCCTAAGTCAAAGCATTGCTGTTTTAGTACTAAAACGACCACTAGTACACTCACTCCAACGCTGCGGCCCCGCACCCTGCTTCATAGTAGATCTTGGCCCCAGGGAATGCATGTCGATACCTGAGGCTGCAGTCCCTTCTCCGCTGAATCTGCGGCTTTTTTCCAAGGGGCCCTCTTTCCAAACTGGCTCAAGCCCAAACACCGTGTCTCCAGCAACGACATCTGCCCCTCCGCCTCTGGAAGCTGCTCTACAAACTACGTTGGCTTCAAATCTACACCTTTGCAGGCAAGGTGCACTGGGCGCGCATTCTGTTCCATCTCCTCGGAGCGGTAATACGGGCCGTCCAAGGAAGAGCCCGCTCCTGCCATGTGCAAGAACCATCTCGCTTCCTTGGCCCGCAAGGCACTCCATCAGTCACAATGCTACTTTCAAACACCTCCTACTCTTGCCCGGAAGTTCAATTCACGTTCACCACCAAACACTTCCGTCATATTCTCTGCGTCTGCATTCTTCCCCCTCTGGGCTTCAAGACCCCCTGGATTCGCAACTCCACCTCCCAGCACTGATCACGAAACATCGTGGCATCTTTGAACTCTTTCCAGTTTCAGCACCACACACACCCCATCACAATGGATAAACTCACTTGATTTCCGCTGCCAATTCAACATCTCTTTACTACATGCCTGCACTCTTCCACTCTAAAGTTCCACTTTTGCTGCCGTTCAGCTAGTTTCCCGCCTCCTGCGCCACTGCCTGGGCCGCCTGAGCACACAGGCTCAAATCCACATGTGTTCCCCCATGGCCCGTCTGCTTCAGACTCTTTTGCATGCTGCTTCAGCTGACACGTTTCAAACCCTCTCTAGTCCAAACCCGATTTAACTTCAATCCGTCGTGATACGCCTTGCGCATCAATCAAACAACTTGCAGTGCTTTCACCTGGGCATCCGTACTTCCGCAGCCTTTCTGCGTTTCACACCCTGCATCACCCCAGACACCATCCACTCTCAAGTCGTTCTTCCGCTTTCTACTCTGTCTCTACTCCCTGCTTGCCACGCTTTGCACATGTGGAGTGCATTTCCCCGCCTCTATCAGCCTGGCGTGCGTTTCTTCTCGCGTCCTCTTTTTCTCTTCCTTCAACTCACAACTGTTTGTTCCACTTGTTTTGCCAACACTGTCTGTCCACCGCATCTCCGCCTCCAGGTCGGCTGCACTCATTCCTTCTCGCTTTCTTCGGGCAAGGACCTGCAATGCAGTTAAATGAGACCAGCCATGGTTCTGCTCGTCCTAGTTGTCAACCTTGGTTCGAATCTACGCTTCGAATTGCACAGCTATAGTTCTGAGTGTCCTAACTCTAGTCCGAACTGCACGCACCTTTTCTCTCTTCCTTCCCCTAACAACCTTTTCTTCCCCTAACTACGATTTCTTCCCCATTGTTTTACGTCTGCCTTACACCAACCGTGCAAACCGTCCTGATGTCCAACCCAACTCCGCCTGCGTCTCAGCTTCCGTCATTTCTACCTGACATAAGACCAACTATGCTTCAGATTCTAATAGCTATACACATTGGCTCTAAGGCAACCTTCTTGCGCCCAAAAAATCGTCCCACCAAAACCTACTAACCAGCACCTATAACACGGGACCCGATGGTTTTGTGCAGGTGGACCCCAAAACCAACGAAACGACGGAGAAGCAATAATCACAAAGGAGAAATATGCACAAGGAGATCGGTCCCGTGACGCACAGCAGGGTTCGTGACCACTTGTCTCTCGCTTTGGAGGGTAGAACGAGAAAAGGGAGAAAGTAACAACGATAGAGTGACCGTGGTCTCCCGGCACGCCTCTGGCGGCCCCTGCGAGCTTTAGCTGCAAGGCAATGGAGTTTATGCTGCTAGAAGGAAAATTTTTGTCTTGGCCCCTAAAATTGAAGTGGAGAGGGCTTAATAAAAATTTGCCACCTGTGATGTGGTATGGTGTGGTCGGAGCTGATGATAAGAGCTTCCTGGTGGTAGCCTCCAAGCAAAAAAAATCGTTATAAGTTATAACAAATTTCACTTTATAAACGGGGACTTTCAATCCCGCGAGAACAGGAAAGGGAAATTGCCACGGCCCCTTCAGTACAGAATGACCAGGAGCGTACATTCCAGCAAAAGAAGGGGGTGAAAAGTAGGACTTGATGTGGAAGACTTCCTCCTTTGTCTTCATCTTGGTGTGAAATGTGAAAAATCCAGAAAAATGTGCGTGGAGAAAATGTCGATGAAGTAGAAAATTCGCTGGAATTGCAAGCCGGAGAAGAATGCAACCGAAACGAGACACAATGAGACCAAGTAAGAAATGGTTGAATTGGTACTGGTTCCAACAAACTCGGAGAATGAGATGTAGAAGAGACTGTGCAAGGCGTCGCCCACAGCCTTGAAAAAGGAGTTGAACACGACAAATCCAGAAAATAGTGATTGGAGAAAATGTCCATGTAGAAAAATGTAGCCAGAACAACAAGCAGGAGCTGGTATATAGTGCAGAAGCGGTCGCCAAAAGGTTGTCCAAGTAGAAGACGGATGCTGCTTGAATTGTACGTGAGGCTGACATGGCAGAGAAAGAATCCTGATTGGATATTCCTGAAAATAATTACAGGGGCTTGCGAACGGAGGCTAGCTAAAGCTTGTGCCCGTTATAACCGCATTAATTACAATGATTCGTGTTACCTATAGTTACCAACTGGTGCAGGATTTCTTAGTATCACCAAAAAAAAAATCATCTTTCACATGCTTTTACACAACACACCGACAGATTGGAATGAGATTTGGACATCCCCCCATGAGCACATTTTGAGCTGAGTGCCTCTGCTACTGTTGGCGCAACTCAAACATTAATCCATGAAGCTACCATTCACCAACCTTTTCCTGTAGCCTTTGATTCCACCAACAAATGTGTTTTACTAAAACGTCGATGGGTTTTTCACCAGTTTTCCACATAAATTCGACCAGAAAACCATCCGAAACTCATGTTTTTGGCATCCCAAGACTTGGCTCCACGTTCGGGGGCCCGAAGAAAACGGATGGGGTGGTTCTTCGCTATCATAGATAGCCGAAGGAAGAATAGAATAAATAGCTGGTTAGTAGATAGGCTATTGATGGACCGGAACTAAAGCATTAAACTTCCCAACCTGGCCCAACCTCCAATTATTTTGTTTTTAAAGACCTGTGGCATCAAAGCAGTCAACTTTCAGAAGGAAACCCGATGTTTTTGGCGAAACGATTTTCGGCGACAAGTTCTGCCCTCCATTTTCTTCCAATTCCTGCCAGCGGACAAGCGCTTCTTCGGCTGGTAGGTGTGCTCTGCCAAGGAAATCAAATAGGCAAAGAAACTTACGCCCAGAGACAGGCTCATGAAACCTGGAGGTAACAAGCGCAAATGGGAGAACCGAGAACCCATGTAACACCAGTGATGATGTAACACAAGCTCCCAAAAAAAGGCATCCCATTCCCAAGATCCAGGGGTCATGAAAAGAGTCATCAAAACACCCGTTTGAATATGTTGGTTCATTTCACAGCGGGAAGTTTCGAATGCTGTTTCGAACTGGGGATCATCACCCCCATCATCCCATCCCCGCCTGTGACGGATGACACATGTTGCCTCCGCCAAGTCATTTGTTTCATCAGCAGCTGGGGCCACTGCGGATCCTGCAGCCCTTGGAACCAGCTCCCATCGCTGCAGAGCAGCTTGGCCCAACTGCTGTAGCTGGGCCAGTCGCAACTGCTCGGCCGGGCCACCAGAAAGAGGAGGCCCCAGAGGAAGACGCAGCGCAGCATCAACAGGATGCCTGCAGATCGGCAGGAAAAACATCTGTGGAAATTGACCAAAATTTGAGATGGGAACCATGGAATTTAAGGCAAGTGGCATTCAAAAAAAAGACGCGATGTCCTCCAAAACCCTTGGAGACCCTGTGGAAATCTGACCCCACCAGGTGCCTTCTGGTAATCAAAATGGAAATTTCCCCGCTGTGCATCAATCCATTAACAAAAATGGTTCGTCCATTGCCTTCATCTGATTGCGGGAGGGGTACTTCAGCACCGCCAAACCAAAAAACTACCCCTACCCGGTAGCTATTTCCTGATTGCCCGAGAGGAATAAAGTACTTCAATGCCACCTTTCCAAAACACATTTCCACTTGATCCGTAGTTGTGAGGGTTTGTCTCAAACTCGGAACCCCCCAAAATCCCATCGACTCAAAAACTTCATGAAATCACCATCCCACCATCCCTCTCCCATTTTTACCTGGCAGGCCAGGCAGTTTCGCCACCAGCAAGGCAGGCTCCCGCAAGACCTGCAGTTTCCAGTGCTGCACGCAGGGCACTGCGAAGAGGAAAAAGTGCAGCGGAAGCCAAAGGATCCACCGCACCGCCAGCAGCCCGAAACCTGGACCCCGGACCCTAAACGGCACCCGGAAAATTCCAGGTGCAGATTCTATGGTAAAGGAGGGTGATATGGTTTTCCCAAAACAGGAATTCGATGGCAGTAAAAGGGGATCAAATTCTTGTTCCACAAACCAGATCGACACCTCACCAGTGGATGGCGGTTTCAGCTGGGATTCTGAGCATCACCCTCCCAATTGGTTTCCTGGTCATTGGTGGCTCATGGCCTCATCTTTGTCAATCATTCAACCCACCCATTGACCTTCACTCATTGACCCGCCCATTGTGGGAACCACAATGTGCCATAAACTGAGACTTGACAATAACATCCCCAATTTTAATGGCTATTTAGTCACCTTTTTAGTTCAAAATATCACAGCTTGTTGAAATCTCGGCACTTTCTGTGAGATTTGATGATCAAAGAAAATCACGAAACTATAGCACCTATTGACAACAGCAATATAATACAAACAACAATATACAATAGTAACAACAAGTTAAATGGATTAAACATTATTAAATGATAATAGTAACAACAAGATAAATAGATAAACAACGATTAACACACCTAGAATAAACAAATGAATCAATAAATACATAAATAAATAAACAATCATAAATGTACACATATTTCAATAATATGACTGATAAGAAATCAACCCGCCGCCGAGGTGCAAAACATCACCGCGGTCGCTTCCACCTCAACAATCTGGCCGTAGAGCTGTAGCGAGGTCTGGAACTCAGCGGTTTTGAGAAAGGCACCGTGGTAGAACTGCGGCCAAAGGTACTCCAGGTACTCCTTCCTTGGGAGGGAAAAACATGGGGAAGGCTTGGGAAAAAGGGACACACATATGGGGACAAAATTGAAAAGATGGGTTGAGATGTGATTTATAGGGGTTTGGCCTGGTGTTTGTGGGTTTTTTCGTGGGGCGATACTATTCTGATAGGAAGGAGGTTGGAAGGATTGAGCTGGAATCATGGGGAGAAGTTAGGCGATGGGCATGATGTTAAAAACTATCAATATATATAACTAAGAAGGTGGGCTATAAATCGAACAAACGGGTTGAGATGTGGAAAATCATGCGGAAACTTCCCGGCAATAACATGAGACAGGAAAAAATCTGGGTTTATATAGGAGTTACATGGGCTTGGTTTATACTATTATGATTATGATGCTCTTTCTGATTGTTGGTGAATTAAGATGAGGGAACATGCGGGGAAATAGTAATATGTGTGACTCGTGACAGCAGAAGATATATAAAGGAAGGCTTTTCGGGCACACTTGATATAACCAGCAAGATACACGACACACACACACACACGCACATTTAGTTTTAACCATTTCTACAATGTTAGTGTCTGTTTGTTTATGCAAGCTCATCCCTTTTCTTGCTAACTGGGACTATCATTGCAAAGAGGAATAGACACTTTCCAGAAAATTATCTCATCCCCCAAATATTAAATACCCCCCTCTCTGGGAATACAGCCAACATATTTCACTAGAATTCTGGGAAATACTGTTGTATTACCCTCCAGTGATCACCTGGTACAGTAATCAAACATGCCAAGGGAAAATTATGTCATTGCCCAGTTATTTCGGACATTTCTCAGCTAGCCATGTTTCATTACCAAAGGGTAGCTTGTTATGGGATTGCTTGAAACCCATCATGATATCCCAATGATGTTCCCATCATGTTATGCCCCCACTATATTCCCATTTATTAAAAAAATACCGTGAAATTCTATGGCCATTTCAGAAACCTCGAGGTACCTACCATATGGTCTATGCAAGGGCTGTGGGGGATATGCTGAATATGGTACGGTACCTCCAGCTATGGATGCTGAATTTCTCATTCCCATCAGCACCAATGATATTCCCATAAAACCGCCATAAGACCACAGGATGGTGCTCGCTTAGTGATGGTTGTTGGTTTATAACCCCAACTATCTTTATATGGCAGTGTGTCAAAACCCTATCCCCCTGGTGAACATCAAAATAGCTGGTAAATGGATGTTCATCCCACTAAAAATGGTATTAATAGGTATTGATCCATACCCATATCTACCATAAACCAGACTTAAAGCCACTTATGTCAACTGAACGCTATCTTCAAAGCCGCATCCTGCAGCAGTTTTGTTTCCAGCGTCCATGTCTCATCTTCCACGGGAACCTCCAAGGACAACACTGAGGACGTGTTACTCTCGGCCCTGGCGAGTCAAGTTTCAGGGATGGACTGATGAACTTCGCCATTTTTGGATGTAAACTCTCCATGTTTCTTTTGGGATGGGATGCATTTACAAAGGAATCTTCCATGGCCGGCATCCATTGGTCCATTGCCTATGTTTCGTGGGTGCTGATCATCATCTTGGGTGCGTGCTGAACGGATCTGAATCCTGGCCACTTCAGGGAGGATTTGCTTCTTTCGGAACTGGTTTTTAACAAGAGAATCTTAAATGACAACAACAACTTTCTATAAACAGTCCATCTTTCAATCTTCAATAAAAAACTCTGTGTTTTTGGAGTTGCCACATACGCTTTCCACCCTGTCAAGCACCCGAAACCACGCCACAGCCTGTTGCGGACGGAGTGGCTCCGCGCCGAAGGGCTGCTGGCGTGGGATTTCACCCGCTGCACTGACTGCTCTTCCTGGCTGCGGCTTGCGGGCCAAAGTTCTTAGGATTCCCCGGGGGAAACCGGGGAAAAAAAGTCACATTTGATATTTTTTGATATGTCATAAGTGATATGTCATAAGTGAAACACCTGATAAAATCATCTTCTGTCTTCGTGGGTGGACCCATTTACAGCAGGAACCTTTGGGCTGCAGTCCTTCTTGATGAGGTCGTAGGCCGGTGCTATGAAACGCCCTAAGACCTCGGAATGGTTCAGCTGCACATAGGCTGCCAGAGCACCCACCAAGCAGCCACCGAAGAAGGACAGGGCTACCTGGCTGCGAGTTTTGAATGGAGGTCGGCGGAAAAATCTGATTCTTTGATGGGAAAATTAGGGGATATCTAGAAATGCGAGATGTCCCATTGGAAGAGTTGATTCATTGGTAGCTCTGGGATGATTGATCCATTCCAGGCTGGAAAAAGACGGCGAAACTTCCCAGGCTGCATGGTATATCTTTGCGAAGATTGACAGCGGGAAGTGCACCCAAGGGCTTCGCCCAGCGACCAAGGGATTCATGAAGAAAGCCTTCCATCTGCTCCTGAGTCGCGACGACTTCATCGACGAGGCTCTGAGTTGGGCCCAAACATCTGGTAGAAATATGGAGCTATGTTGAAGTGGGCGATAGAATGGTCATAGTTTTGACGCATACCCAGGTACACCCCAAATACCTGAAGAAAAAATAATTGAAACAAACAAGATATAACCCCCAAATCATCTATTTTAATAGGATTTTCCGTTATAAAGCATCCGTTTTTTTGGGGTACCCCAATTATGGAAACCTCATATAGCCAAGATATACCGATACCTGCAGATGAGCTCACCGGGCCAGCGTTGCCGGAAGTATTATAGCGTTGGCGACGAGTGGCGGTGATGAGAGGATGCTTTGTGCTGGACTGCTGGATATAAAACCCGAACTGTGCTGGATTTATATATATATATATTAATGGATATAAATATAAATATATATACATACATACCCTCTGGTAATTGAATATAGGAATGCAAAACCAGCGTTCTGCATAAATCATCGAACTCGGCTTGAAAAAACCGCCTCTCCTCAGCATGAAGTCGTTGAGCTCCTGCGACCCGGAGGCCAAGTAGGGAGGCAGCCCATCGGCTCTGATGCGATAGACATCCTGACGCAACTGGGAGAACACATACAAAAAAAAAAAGGCTGGAAAAGACATGTAAGAAAACTAGGAACATGATCTACAAATTCTGGGTTTTAGGTTTCCGCACCTATGTTAGTTTACCGGAGGGTGTGCGCATATGTATGTATATATATATATATACATACATACATAAATAATCGTATATATATATATATCTCTCTCTCTCTCTCTCTCTTACTCTCTCTCTCTCTCTCACACTGATGAGAAAATGACACGGTATGTAGCCATCATCCCACGTCTGCACTTTTTTCAACTAGAACTGGGAAAAATGCTGGGATGTACATTGAACTAATTGAACTATATCAAGTTAGAGCTATAACTGTAACCAACTACCTGTCCCCAGAAAATAGGGGGGAAGGGAGCACCGATCGGCAGCGAAAGTTTGGAAGTTGTGAGCATTTCTGGCATTGTAGAGTCATATGCCAGCGGTCACTGACACTGCAAGGGCACATATTTCTTCTTGTTTGTTCGTAGGAAACTGGAAGATCTCAATTTTAAAAGTATGCCGCCGAAAAAACAGCCTGAGAGTGCGAACACAGGGAAGTGCTTCAATTTCGGACAACCATCACCACGCAAACTCTCACCGCATGACCACAATATTTCTGGGCCGACACAATCTGATTTTTACCAAGCAACAGCCCCATAGTCCAGTAGCAACTTCACCATTGGCAAGTTGCCTGAACGGATGGAATCCACTGATCAGTAGTCGATGAAACCCGATGTTCAACTCACTTGAATCTCCATCAGAACATATTCGGAAAAATCCACCATGTCATAGTATCATAGTTGTGAGTAACTAGCAATACCAGGTATTATATGGTATTATGGTATACCAACATATACCAACTATTATTCATATACCACCTCAGACATACCTATTATACCAATACCAACCGTGGTACCCTCTGGTAAACTGTTACAAAACTATGGAAAGATCCACCATTTTGTAGCTGGGTAAATCCACTATTTCGACTGGGCCATGGCTTCATTAGCTCCAGCAGCCCCACCTGAAATCAGCGGCCACAGCAACGGGCTGTTGCCCTCGTGGTCCCAATGGAGCGAGGCGCCTTGCTCCAGCAGATGCCGCACCAGCGCCTGGTGCCCTGTCAGTTCGAAGAAAAATCCGAAAATGGACCAAGACAAGGATGAAAATGGATGAACATGGATAAACAAATGGATGAAAATGATGAGAGATGGTAAAACTGGTTTTGAGATGAGTTGAAATGATGCAAAACAGGTGAAGATCCCCAAGAAATACAGGGATATCCTTTCAGGATCAGACATGACTCAAAATGTTGGGTGAATCCCAACCCACCAAAACCATCGCCAGTTTAAAATCATCCCAGAAAATCATCAAGTTTTTCAACATCTCAAACCATCCATGTTTTTGAAAACCCACCGGGAATCCCTGGGATTTCCGACCCCTCCCTCAGGTGGTGTTCCGGGGGTCGTCGCTCTCCCGGCCTTGTTTGGTGGCCCAGACCAGTGGAGTCCAGCCGCTTGGGTCCGTCTCTTCGAGGTTCATCCCTTTGGACAGCAGCAGGTCGACGACCTGCAGGTGACCTGGCAGCGAAAACCTTGGGGAAATGTGGGGGAAATGTGGGGGAAAATGCTGGAAACATGTGGGGAAACATGTGGGGAAACATGTGGGGAGATGCTATTTCAGCCACATTTCTCATGCGTTGTGGCAGAGATGATATGATTGCCGTGGCATGAAAACAAAGTGGCGTTTGGTAGAGGGAGATGAAAAGGACCGATGTCGCGACTCAAACCCAAAGAAGTAGCATGAAGGAGAATGAAGTAGCTACCAAGTACATAAGCATTGTCTGCCAGATCTGCTATTTTTGATCCATAACAACTGACTATCATGGGGATTCATGGTATGTTTGCCGGGTCCATGCTGATCCAGCCTTCCTGAGCTGCCAGCAGTAAGGCGCTCTTCCCATAGATGTCTTTCTTGTCCAATGACGCGCCATTGGCCAGCAGCCATTCGCAGGTTTTCAAATTGCCTTGTTGGCTCGCCCGCATCAGCGCTGTTTGGCCGCTGAAGGCCCGGTGGTCCACGTCCGCGAAGTTCTCCAAAAGGACATTGGCCGTGGCCAGGAAACCTGCCAAAGATTCCACTGTGGCTGGGAAATATATCAATAATTGGAAGAAATGGAGACTTTGTTTAGCAAATTCATTTTGAATATGGGTGATTTTCCCTATGTTTGGCGATGAATGGGGAATTTTTTGAGGTTGAGATAGTTTGCAAGCACTCAAATTTGTCGCTTCTGAAGTTCTGGTAGATGCGAATGCCATTCTAAATGTTTATGTTTTTTTTGGTTATATCAAACATTGGATATTTTCTCATATAAAGTAGGTGAAGGGAGAATGCCCGAGATTTTAAGCAGATATCAAAGGGATACTGTAAAAAACAAACAGCTGGGAAATGACCATCTTGAACAGCAAAAGTCACGATGAAACGTGGAGTCATGGTGATGATGTTCATTGCCACAATATGGGTTGAGTGGAAATAGGAGGATCAACCTGGAGATGAGGATAAACAGAGCAACAAAACTGGGATGGCTTTTTGAAGCCGAAATCAGTGAATTTTTGTGAGCAAACAAACAGCTAATTTCGATCATAGTTTGTTAGTTGTTCATCAACAACGTTTCAGATTGATTGTCTTGGGACCCTCTGGATCTCGTGATGTGACCAAGAGTTGGGACCTACCAACAAGTTTTGATTTCCTGATTCCACCATTCAAAAAAAAACGTGTTGAGTAAGATATTCTGATATTCCCATGAAAAAATATCAAAAGCCAAAAAATATGGTTTTGGGTCATGTGTCTAAAACATTCTAAAACTAGGGTAGCTGAGCTACTTTCATCTGGATTGTCATTCCAATTTCACTTGCCATGTGGAGATGGAAACCTTCGTGGGTGGCTGTGGCCAGGGGCGTCCAGCCGTCGCCATCCTCCACGTCTACCTGGGAGCTGTTGAGCAGGCCCCAAAGTGCAGACAAGAAACATATATATCATATTATATATATATATATGTGTGTGTGATATATATATATATATGAGTATAAATATATATATATGATTATATATATGTATGATTATATATATATATATATGTGATTATATATATGTGTGTGTGATATATGAGTCATACATTCTATAAACAAGACTCATATGAATATTGGGAGGTATACCACTATTTTGGAAATGAATATGGTATAGAAATGGATGAAGATCGTTTCTGCATCTTTTTGGGGTTACCCAAATCGGCACAGATCCCATTTGAAGGCGTCACTGGGATCTTCTTCAGCTGTGTGTGTTCAATATGAACCAGTGAACTACCGATATATCTACCATAGCCCCCAGTTGTACCAGTTCTAGAACGAACTTGCCTGTGTGATCCAATTACACTAGTTACCTGTCATAAGCAAACAAACCTATCTGGACCTTTCTTATCAACAGCAACCAACTGAGCTTCCCCCGCAATGGAAATCCATCCTAGCGATTCTCGTCGTCAAGATCCATGTCGTAAATTGGATCTTCTGCTTCGCTGTTTGGGTTTATAAGTCAAATTTCCTGATTCAGGCAACGCCTGAAGATGTAATCTTTGACCCGTACCCGGTTTCTAATTGTTGAGGGCTTATACCCCAACATTTTGAATCATGAATCACGATGAAACTGAAATATCTCCCCATGTTCTCCTCCAAATATGCCGATATTTCCACCATATCCTCCCCGTAGATTATTGTTGTTGTTCTACTAAATGTCACTTTCAATATTGCCATTGTTGTTGATATTCTATGTTGTTCTTACTTATTTTATCAAGAGCATTATTCTTCTCATGATCATTATGATTATTATCATTATCATTAGTACCATCAGGGGCAATATTATTATCAGTTGTAATTATTACCAGATAACCATCATTTATTTTCAATATATCATTGTATCATTCCTTATTGCTAAAATATGCAAAAATATCATCATCAATGATAAAATAATAATCATAATAATAATAATAATCATAATTATTACCGGATAACCATTACTATTCCCAATATACTATTACATCATTCAGTATTAATAAAAGTATCATTCCGAAGGTTCCACGCCAAAAGGCTCTGGCTCCTTTGTCCAGCAGTAACTTGGTCGCTTCCAATTGGCCTCGCGCGGGGAAGATATCATGGGATAGAATGGGATCTAACCAACAGTTAGCATGATTTTTCCGGGTTTCGCTAATATCGAAACCATTCGAACTTAAAAATCTATGAATATCTTGAGTCTCTGAAAAAAGAGTTGATGTGCAGAACGGCTTCTGCCAGAGTGGCTGAGTGGCTGAGTGGCTGAGTGGCTGGTGTGAAAATTTCCGCCATTGCGCGCTCAATCTGAAAAAATGGTCGATTGATTTTGTGACACATGGCCAACTTGTTACAGGTGTCCAACTTTGACTATGCATCCAGAATTGCACGTGCCCTCTGGATATGTTCCAAGCTGCAAATGGAAAGTCTCCAATAGTATTGACTACAAAACCAGCTATTTTCCATGGGAAATCATTGGAAATACCATCCGCAAACGGAGGTTTCCTGAACAGTTTGGGATTTTCCATTCTAAACCACCCATAGCTCCATGGAAACACCGCACCTAGTGAGGCAGCTTCGTGAAGCAGGGCACGTCTCACCCATTTGCCCATGCAGATGCGCAAGTCAATTTCTTGCAGAACCGACCTGGGTTTTTTCCCAGCGAACCAGGGAACATTGGAACATCGAATGTCATGGGAAGATCATCGGAGAAACAATAAAATATGAGCAACCGTGAAACTGAAAAGGGACGATACCTGTCATTCAATTTAGCATTTTGGACCAGCAAAACCGTCCCCAAAACTAACTGAAGCAATTCTGAAACCGGCTGGTCAACCTTTATGGACTGGTCTTCCTCATGGGTAGATTCGGGGTGAAATGAATTCTTCGTGCGCGTCCCACCGTAGGAACAGTCCCAAGCACAGGGTGGTTTGACAGGTCAGGAAGGGCCATCCACCCCAGAGATTCCAAACACTTCGTGAAATAGAGCCGCTGAAGGCGCAATCCTTCCCAAAAAAAGAGAAAACAGTTTCTCTTTCAAACTTGCCCCCACAAAAGAACATCGTTTACCACAGGATGGTGCCCCCCAGTTATAAGTTGGTTTATAAGCCCCATTAACTATAGTTATATCACCATTCATGGGTTATGAATGGATTATAGATGGGTTATAATCACTATAATCCCATATAATCACTATAATCCCATGAAACTATGGTATTATCAAAGGTGATTATAACCCATCTATAATCCATTTAGTAACTATAAGTATGGTTATTATCTATCACTATCATTAAACTATGTTATAGTCCCATATACCTGGTGGATTATGGTTACAATCATTATTATCATGGTTTAAAACTATTATTATCTATTATTATGGTTATAACTATGGTATATTATTATCACTATCATTAAACTATGGTTATACCTGCCATAAACCATAGTTTTTGCTGGTCCTGGTGAAGATCACCAAACCAAGCTGCTCCGTGCGCAGCGCGGCGCGTAGGGCGGAGACGTTGCCGGCGCGCACGGCCAGGCATGGCAGCACGGCCGACCTTGTGGGGAAGTGGGAAGTCATCCGTGATTTTACCTGAGGATAATGATCATGGTATAAATAGATATAATTTTACTCAAGGATTTTACCATCCTAGTCATATAATGATCATAAATAGATATATGATCATAAATGGTATAAATGATATAAACCATGGTATAAATCATCCCATGTCGGATCTTCCAGCTTTTTTTCATACCAAATTGCCAATCATGAGCTTACCATCATCCCTGGAATCTAGATGGATCTAGTCTGACGTGACTCAACGGCAATCTGTTGGCCATTTGACCCATCTGCAAAGAGGAAAATCAATGTGTTCCTATATTCCTCTATTTTGACCCAAGCAAAACAAAGAACAACATCTTTTGTAAAGCCTTCAATATTTCGGTTTGTTGATCAAACTCCGTCACAATTTATAACTGTAAAACCCCACTTGGAAGGGAAAAATAAAGTTCTTTCACCCCACTGAAACTCAAGTCGAAAAAAAGTTGCCAACCATAGAGCAATGGATTGGTTTAAGAGAAAATCTTAACCGGAAACCATATATTTTCCCATTGACTACGGGGTTTTCCCTACCAATCCAATGAATAAACCAAGGCCACTCTATCGCTTGACTCGGTTCTGCAGTACACAGCAGCGCCAGCGTCGCCAAACGCTGAAGTGCCATGGCACTTATGGCACGGCTGGTGATAAGAAAAATTGGGAGATTGGTATGACACGGTGGCAATTCATAGCGAAACTAATATGAAAATTGATGTGGTAATATATTTGTATATATTCATATATGTGTATATGTGTGTACCTACATGTGTGTGCGTATGTGGTAATCAGTGCGGAAATTGATGTGGCGGTAAATATGGCAATCAATACCTGCGAGTGGTAAGACATATCAAAAGGTGTGCCAATGACTCTTGCGAACAAAAATAGAGGGAAAAACATGTATGGATGGCAATCAAAACTCGTCCATCTCAGAATAGAAAAAGCACCCCCCTAGAAACCGTTGCTTAGTTGTGAATCTAGTTTGAGGTACCTGAAAATGAGGGTATCTTGGAGGAATGCGAACTTCCGGGCAAAGTTACTTCCCCAAGACTTGGATGGCGAAAAATATGTTCCTTTTTTTTGCCATTGGATATCTTGGATATGGCATCCTAAGTTGAACCTAAGTTGCTTAAAATGAACCATTTTTATCCAGTTATGAGATATACCCCAGTAACACATGGGCCAACCACTGGTTTGATGTGGACCCAGCAGATCGATTTCCTTTTTTTCTCAGCGCTGGAAGGTTTCGTCATGCGGATGACAGATGAACGGATGGACAGGTGGAGTGGATACTGTGCTGTTTGGAACCATGAAATTGGAGAAGGGCCCAACAAGATGAATTTCTGAAAGTGCCCATGTTCCACTGCAGGGATATAACGGCAGGGCTACTGCGATATGGCAGACTCCTTGGGAATCGCCATGCGTATCGCTGGGCGCTGAAACTCAAGGGAAATTCCGGCGCACGGCAAGCGCTAAAATTAGAAACCGATTCAGCGAGTTCCAAAACGTCAAAGAAAATAGAAGATTCTGATTCTTTATCTTGGTATGTTTATCCCTTTTTCTGATGGATTTTTCATTTTATTCTCGCGACGCTGTGTCTCATCGCGCAGCACAACTGCTGAACTCATGGCGGTGGTCGCTCGACGTCCACGCGATGAAACACGAAGAGTGAAAAGCTGCAGATGCTCAGCAGAATGCCTCAGGTCGCTTCCAGTTGGGCTTGGGAGATGGTCAGCAGGAGTTTGGGAAACCCCGGAAACCCCGGCGGAAAAGCATAGAACTCTCTGGTCATCAACATGGTTTGCTGGACAATCCTTCTGTAGATGATTTCCATTAAAACACCATGTATTTAAAGGATTTTCATGGACTTTCCAGCCATCTTCACCCCGGAGGATACCCTTTTTGACGTTTCATCTCCGTTTCATCTCCGTTTCACCCCATTTCGATGCGCAGGCGCTGCAGATCTGCGCAGCAGCCTGCCAAGCAGTTTGGATGCAAAACCAATAGGAGAAGGACGTGAGGCAAATCGAAGCCGCTGCCTCGCGAAGATGATGGGATGGCTTAAAATCTGGATAGTAAATGGCCACCTGATGAGTGGGATGTAAATAAATGTGTATATCATATATATATGTACATATATATGTATATTTTTGTATGTTTTTTTGGCATCTGTACGTATGAATAAGTTGAAGTGATATTCATTATGGGTACCTTTATGTAACTGGTGCGCTCCATGGAAACCATGTGCAGCTTCGGGTGGGTCATCTGAATCCATTGGAGCCACGAAGGAGTTGTTAAAATATTTGGTATTCCAATCCATTGGAATCCATTCAAAAAACCATTGGAATTGGATTCCATATGATCTCCAGTAAGAATCTCTTCCAATTCCAGCTGAAAATGGATGCACTATTACCATATGGATGTTATAAATATTATAGACCCATTGGAAAATCCATTGGAATTCCCATGCCCCATTGGAATCCAAAGCCTCGAAGCCGTGAACATCGATCATCTCTAGAAGCTCTCCATGCATCATGCCCCGCAAGGAACTCTGCTGGAGCACCTGACAGGTCTCAGGTGGCCAGGTTCTTAGCTCGGTGAACATAAGCTGACAATTTATGGTTGATGATGGTTTATACTTTATACATTTTTCTACTAGATAGATAGATAGATAGATAGATAGATAGATATATTGAACTACTTCTATTATTTGGTTAACCAACTTATAACTGGGGAAGCACCACCTTGCACACATGATCAGGGCTGAGCCACCGGGCCATTGCAAACATGTTGCGCACAGACTTTGTGCACAAAATCAACACTTTATCTCAGTGCCTGCTACTCTGTTGGGTGGTTTCTTTAGTTCCCGTGGAAGCAAACCCATTTTGTTGGTGAAACTCGCGCTTGTTGGTGATCTGCTAGTCAAATGCTGCCCTCCTTCTGGCGGACTGGTGAGATCCCAATGGTGACCCGACCTCTCTGAGATGGCAAAGCTTCCCGGAGAGCAAGTGCTGCGCCGCCGTCCTGCCCGAGGTACCACAAATGTCGGATCATGGTGTCTGAATTAGACCAGTTACGATTTCACTCTTTTAGTCCAGAATTTCAAGCACTGGAACAATTACAAAAAAGGGGACTGGTCGATTGCAAAAACCAGCAGAACATCTGTGAGAATTAGGACCCTTTGAGTTTCTTCTGGCCAAGAAATGGCCTTCACATTCCGAACATGAGGTATACTCTGGTTATTGAACATAGTAACATTAAGATACATTAACATACATTAACATACATTAACATACATTAACATACATTAACATACATTAACATACATTGACATACATTAACATACATTGACATACATTGACATACATTGACATACATTAACTATAGAAAATGCTGTATTTGTGCAGATGGTTACCATCACCATAGACTTTTCCATGGCGTTGGCCCCACTCGGCCTGGAGATGACCAACATGAGACAGAAGGCGAAGGTGGGGTTTCCGGTGAACATCAAGGTGTAGACCTTGGTCGCAACGCGACGGAGCTTGGAAAAGGCTGAGGTGATGATTTTGACCCGGCCTGGTTATGTCAAAGAGTTTGCGAACTTGAAGCCATGGCCCAGTCGAAATAGTGGATTTACCCATTGAACATGGTGATTTTCTGAGAAATGATGATGATTTATTGGTGATGATGATGATTTCTGAGAAAATCCTTTTCGGATTTTTGCAGTTTCTCATTGTCTCTGGCATTCTTTGGGTCTTGGATTCGGTCCGACATGTCCTGCACCAGCTGTGCGCGGGACAGTGTTGAGGTCAAAGATCAAGTCCAACATCAAGAGCAGCACAGTGCCATAGACACTGCACTTCGTTTCCTGAGCCGTGGCCACATCCACACGGTTACCCTCTGGTAAACATACAAAAAACTATGGAAAATCACCATTTTGCATGGGAAAAACCACTATAAATGGTGATTTTCCATAGTTATGTTAGTTTACCACACGGTTAGACTTTCAGAAGAAACACTGAACTAATAGCAGAGGTAACAACACCAAGATGATGGGTAGATCCACATTTTCCGATTGTCAAACCACCATGTGTTCAATGATTATTACAGTTGTATTCCGCGATTTTCGGCAAAACTTCCGGGTAAATATCTCATTCTTGGTCCATCCCTATGTTGATCATGAAATCCCGAAAAATGCTTCAACTGTCACAACCTGTGGGGACCCTGTGATATAAAAATCCCCATGTTTGATGGGCGGTGTCGTTTCGGTGTCGTTTCTCAGAGCGTCCGGCTGGATCTCTGTGGGAAACCGCTCCGGAGAGAGCAGCGGTTGCAGCGTCGAGCCCTCCACTTTCTCCACTTTCGACTCGCAGGGTGATGACCTAACAGCTAACAGCTGCGCAGTGGAGGATGCGCAGTGGAGAATGGTTAGCAAATATGTTTACTGACTAGTGACTATGGTTATGATGGTTATGATGGTTAGAAGCTACAGTTTTTGATCTTTCTTGTATGGTTGGTTCGAAATGGAGAAAAACAGCACATTTCGGTAGATATCTGCCACTTTAAACCATCACCTTGTAGTCAGGCATTCCTTGACTCTTATCAGAACAGTTTGTTGCAAGGGATGAACAACATCGATTTTCTCTTCGTGGGGTAAATCCCATACTCGCCAGAACATCGTCTTTTTTCCGCCGTCTTCTGTCGTTTGCGCCTCTCACCCCCCTCCCACCGGACGGCTTTGTGCTCGTCCGGTGGGAGGGGGGCCTGTACGGCGACTTCTGTGCTTGCCGCTGCCCTTCGTCCTTCGTTGGCCTGCGGCGGGGCGTTTTGGCAGGGCGACAAGGTCATTCAGTTCATTGATCGGAAATTTCCATCAGCCGGTATCATTAGAAGATGTTAATCCGCTCTCCCTCTCTTTCTATATCTTCATCATCTCTATATAGATCCGTGCATTTTATGAATTGGTCTTGCCAAGTATGAATTTCGAATGCGCAATCTCGAAGTTGCACGCCATTGCTTATAATTAAGTATAATGGTTTGAAATGTCGTTAGATGGAAGATGGAAAGTTGCCTTTAGCGAATAGTTATTTTCCTATGCTGGTGGTCTTCCCGGGCCCCAGCTGTATCCCCGGCCTAGGCTTCTTCCTCTTCGTTCTCTTCCTCTTCGTTCTCTTCCTCTTCGTTCTCTCTCAGACGGAAGAGCCGATTCCGAAGTTCGGCAACCAGCCGTGCCATCCTCCTTGGAAACGCCGCTGGCTGGTTGTGCCGGCGGACGTTGAGCCGGCAGCGGCGCGCGGCTGTGCGGAGAGCCCGCTTCAGCTGCCGCACCCTGAGGAGCTCGCGGGCAGTGCCCGTCACGATCTCCTTCGATGTGAATCAGACCAGGGCGGGTCCAATTTAAGGGGCCTAGAATTGTACAGATAGATAGGCATAGCTAGATCGTAGAGGCAGACACACACACATAAAAATATAAATATATATATATATATTTATCTATATATGTGTGTGTGTTGATATTTACATAAACAGTATATCTAATTACTGTAGGTGCGTAACCTTTTTCTTTTTTCTTCCGCTGTTTTCTGTTCTATTGCATCCATTGATCTTTCTGAACTAAGCGATTGTTCAATCCTGAGTTGCCGATCGTTATCATGTCTGTTTATGAATATTGGATGTTGTTATTTCATCCATCATTTTGTATCTGTACAGCATTGATCCTCCACGAGATCAGGATTTTCCCATCCCAGCCACAAGCTTTTCACCAACAGCCACACGCAAAACGCTGCGGCCATCACCAGCAGCAGCAGCACGAAGCCGGCAGTGACCAGGTAGGGCTGCACCATCATCCCGAAACCGGTCACACTGGTGGAAGCACCGTGCCAAGAGGTGTAGGGATTTAGGAGGACGTCGTACCAATTCAGACCTGGGAAAAGGATGGGTTTGATATGTTTGGCTGGTGAAAATGGTGAAGTTTGA